TTCTGTCTGTCCATTGCCTTTCCTCTCCCAGGATGGAGTTTGAGGATTTCTGTAAGTATTTCACAGACCTGATTCTGTGCCGCTTGATTAACACGTCGTACCTGAGCATCCACAAGATCTGGGAGGAGGCAGTGATGCGGGGCTCCTGGTGTCGCCATGACGACCCTTTAATGAACCGATCAGGAGGCTGCATCAACCACAAAGCCACGTTCCTCCAGAACCCACAGGTGCGCAGCGCTCGTTCACAAGTGTGTGTTTATTGTGTAGACGGGTACTGAAGAGTGGCTCTGTGTTTTTCAGTATGTGTTCGACGTGACGAAGACGGAGGACGAGGTTCTGATCTGCCTGCAGCAGCAGGACAAGAGAGCTCAATCCAAAGATGGGAAAGGAGACAACATCGCCATCGGCTTTTATATCCAAAACGTATGTATATTATGCACATAAATTAATCTTGAAAACATATTCTGCTGATTTGCAAAAGAGGCCTAGTATTACATATTCTGATGATGCTGAGTTCAAAAATATCAATAAAAACTTTCCATTGTGAGTTTTTACTCAAAATAAGAATGAAGATCATTCAAACTATATATGTATACATGTACCAGTTTTAATGCACTTATCAAAATAACACAAGCATTCAAATGTCAAAACCTTTGGTTTTAATGACAAAAGGATGTATTAAAAATGTATCATTTAACTCACAATCTGCAAAGGAGTGGGAAAATATGTTCAAATACTCAAATACATTTAATATCAAAGAACTTCACAAAATAACTTTTTTTTACAGAATTTAGCATTTTCTTCTGACACTGGTCATAATTCTGACCTTGAAATCAGGAGTAAGAAACTGTGAAGGACAATCAGAGAATCTGTTCAACAAATATATATTCTGATCAAATATTCCTGGCTCAGAAAAATGCAAAAATAACTGGTTTCCCCTTAATAAAAAAACAGGATTTCTGCGGGTCGGAAAAAGGCCTTAAAAGTCTTAATTCGTCCTTCCACAAATTAAGGCCTTTAGCAGAACGTCTTAAATTCATCAAGTCATGGCATTAAATGTTGCATGCACTGCAAAAACTGAATATCTTCCTCAGTAATTTTGTTTTCCAATACAAATATCTAAGCATTCTTAAATCATGATAAACTGGAGATGCAAAAGGTATGAAATATATGAAGTCTTGTTTTCTAAGAAATTAAACAAAATGAAGTGAGTTTACATCTGTATGAAAACGTATTTTCCATTTGAATTAAGTTTTTGTTTTTTTTATCATAGCATAAGTATAAACTCCCTTTTTTTTTGTCTAAAAGTAAAGTTTTCAAACTTTCTACTCATTTTGCTTCCTAGACATTAACATTTAGAGATCATATAGGCTTATTGTGTTCCCTTCGATTTATTCCTTACATTTTCTTGATTTGGTCTTAAAAAGATCTTTAAAAATCTTTACTTTACATTACTTTCATCAAACCTGCAGGAACTCTGAAAGCAAAAATGCAACGAAATGCACATTTTATGAGTAAGTGTGACATGTTTAAGCAAAACAGACACTATTTTTGGAATCAGCACCTCCAAATTGGTAAGAAACAAATATTGGATTTCATTGATGAAATATGATATTAATTGATTGGTCGAGATGTGTTTTCTGATAGGTGGAGCTCAACCGGACGTACCGCATGCACACCATCCAGAAAACAGTGGGCAGCTCCATCTACATTAACTCCCGCAGCGTGTTTCTGCGCAAGGACCTGAAGGAGGGCCGCTACGTCATCATTCCCACGACCTTTGACCCCGGCCTGCAGGGAGACTTCCTGTTGCGCATCTTCACGGATGTGCCTGCCGCCTGCAAGTAATACATCAGAAATGTGTATTTACAGTAGTCTTTTCTGTTTGCAGTGTGGATGCTGAGTGTATTGAGGAAGGTTGTGTGGTGTTTAGGGAGCTGACATTAGACGAGCCGCCCCAAACCTGTTGGACAGGGTGCTGTGGGTATCCAAAGCTGGTCACACAGGTGCACGTCCACAGAGCAGATGGGCTCCAGGCTCAGGACTCGGATGGATGTGAGTAACGTCAGGCTCTTTCTGTTCCTGTACTCAACATAAAGAGATCCTTCAAATATGATCATTCGGACCATTTTCTTTAACGATCTCGACTTAAAATAATAAATACATTTTATGACAACTTAAATAATTTGAGTGTACTCTACCATACAGAAGGTTGGATTTTTTTTATGTTATTGAAAGAAGTCTCTTCTGCTCACCAAGGCTGCATTTATTTCATCATGACTACAGAAAAAAACAGTAATATTCTGAAATATTATTATAATTTTAAATGATTATTTTCTATGTTATTAAATATTAAAATGTCATTTCTAATATGCTGATTTGCTGCATTGTATTATTAGAAACCATTAAGAAAATGGTTTCTTTGGTGAATAACTTCAAAAGAACAGCATTTAAAATGGAAATCTTTAGTAACATTATAAATGTCTTTACTCTCACTTTTGATCAATTTAATGCATCTTTGCATTATTTTAAAACTTTTGAATGGTAGTGTATGTTTTAATCGGTCTCAAGTTATTTTATTATAACTTAAAATATATTATATATATATACACATACATACATACACTAGGGCTGGGCGATATAGCTAAAAAATGTATCAACGATATAATGTTTCATATCATTCGGTATCAATAATTATTGACATTTTTTTATAACCTTTTTTAAAACGGGAAATCTTTAGTAACATTATAAATGTCTTTACTCTCACTTTTGATCAATTTAATGCATCTTTGCATTATTTTAAAACTTTTGAATGGTAGTGTATGTTTTAATCGGTCTCAAGTTATTTTATTATAACTTAAAATATATTATATATATATACACATACATACATACACTAGGGCTGGGCGATATAGCTAAAAAATGTATCAACGATATAATGTTTCATATCATTCGGTATCAATAATTATTGACATTTTTTTATAACCTTTTTTAAAACGGAAAACAATAATATTTTTTTTTTTTACATTTAACCACTGTATTTTTAAATTAACCCAATTTATTGAGACAAACAACAAATATTTTTTGTTTTAACAGTCAAACACACAATAAAAATGTAACTAATTTCTAATGTTTTATGTGCAGATTAAATGTGTATGAAGGAAACTTTTGTCTTGTCTCCCGAGGTTCTGAAGGATCATGTGACACGTTATACTGGAGTAATGATGATGGAAATTCAGCTTTGCATCACAGAAATAAATTATATTTTAAAGGATATTAAAATAGAAACCATTATTTTATATTGTAATAACATTTGGCAAGATTACTGTTTTTTTTTTGTATTTTTGATCGAATAAATGCAGCCCTGATGAGCATAGTCAAGTCTTTCTGATCCTAAACTTTTGACCGGGAGAGAGAGAGAGCGCGCGCACTGGTAATGCATATTGGAACTGTTGGTAAAAAAACGTTTTCCCAGTTTTTATAAATACTTGTTTGGGTAGTAATGAATAGGGTAGACTTGCACGTCTCTGTAGCTGTACCGCACTAGACTCGTGATATCAGAGGCGTTCAGGAGAAATCAGCTTGTCATCTCCAGGTTGCACTGCTGTAAAATTCATCTCAAATCAAACGGCCTGGAAAGCGGTGACCTTTTCATCAGTAATACAGACGGTCACTGGTGAAATACTGGCTGCTCATTTGCATTTAGAGTTTGATTGCTGTGCGGCTTTTCTCTTTTAGTGCATCTCTTGCCTGTCTAAGGAATGTTTTCTATATACGATGCTGCGTTTTAGTATGTTCTTTATGTGTGTGTGTGTGTGTGACCTGTCATGCTCTCTGCCCCCCTGTGGAGTCTCCTCCTCCTCCCTCCTGTCACTCGGGACGTCCCGTGTCTGTCCTGAAGCCCCTCCCTCCCTCCGCTGTGAGGATCAGTGGCTGTGAATGAGAGAGTCACAGTCATCGGGTGTCTCACACGAGCCCGTCCTCCTCATCCACACTCATTCTTCATCTGACGCACCTGTGTGGATCCTCTCAGCTCACCTGAAACCCACAGAACACAGACTTTCCTGAACTGAGGTGAGCATCTATCTATCTATCTATCATTTACAATGTGTATTTTTATAATTTTATTTATATTTTTTGTTTTGTGTATTACTATAATATTTTTACTGATTATTTTAAAATGTGTATCAATTATAGTAAAATAAGGTAACAATCTCCCTTTCAAAGGAGCACTGATGATGATAGTAGCGGACACTACAGTAAATACCATGGTACTGGATAATTACCATATTTTTATATTGTGGTATTTAAAGAGTGATCCTTGGAGTACTAAAAAATAAATATGTAGGAATAAATAAAAATAAATAAAGAGTAAAAGCATGGTCATTTTTTTTATTTTTTTTTAGTACCAGTGTTATTTTAGTATTATTGAGATAGTAATGTAGTTTTATTAATATTTTGAATTAGGTTTTATTTTTCTAATTTCCATTTTAATTTTAAAGGCTTACATTCTGTCATGTTTTTTTAGTTTTAGTTTTTTATTGATTTATTTTTTTAAATGTCTGTACAGTTTGTATTAATATTATTTCAGTTATATATACAAATATATATATATATATATATATATATAA